AAGTCACGTTGAAGGGAAACAATAAAATAATAAAATATATAACAATAAAAAATTCTCACGACGTTTCGACCATAACACAAACGGTCGTCATCAGGTGTGTCAGTTTTATTATTTTATTGTTTCCCTTCAACGTGACTTTACCGAAAGAGCTAAGAATATAATTGGCACGTTGTTTCCATGACAAACCTTACTGGCTGTGTCGGGTGGTGGAGGGTTACGACACATTTATACTTACGCGATCTAACTCAAAAACCTTTGATTTAAAGCTTTCGTGACTGCAGGGATTCATATTCTTGGTTCTTTTGGTAAAGTCACGTGTGAAAACCACAGCAAGAAAACTTGAAAAAAACGGCGGATTGTGTTTTATCAAGTTTTTTCAAGTTCTCTTGCTGTGGTTTTCACACCTGATGATGATTGCTTGTGTTTCAGTCGAACGTCGTGAGAATTTTATTGTTTTATATTTTTTTATTATTTTATTGTTTCCCTTCTACATGACTTTACCGAAAGAACCAAGAATATAAAAAAAACCTTTATTATGAATAATATTGGTCGCGAAAGCCTCCGTGTTAAACAAACATACACCAGAGACAGCCTTCTTTAGGGCATTGTCTCACCAGTGTTTGACCAGGGAACACCAAAAAACGAACAGTACAAAGACAATGCAAGTATCAGAACACTTATATCTCGGGTCGAGCAGTTATATCTATGGGATATTTTTCCCAGTATCCAAAATGATCAAAAATAAGAATGCAATTTACCCTTTATGGCAATAAAATAGGTGTTAAGATGTTCAAACACCTTTTGAAAGGCTTCAAGTCTGCATTAACCACACATACTTGTGGCAAAACATACAAGCAAACATGCTCTCAAAAAGGTCCCATAAATTTCAATTAAATTGATATTCATAGTTATTCCAACCATACTCTTTGGTTCTATTCGGTAAAGTCACGTAAAATTATATAAAAAAATCACGACGTTTCGGCCACAACACAAGTGGCCTTCATCAGGTGAAGGAACCAGACTGTCTCGAGGACAACGCTGTCCTCGAGACAGTCGAGGACAGCGTTGCCGAAACGTCGTGAATTTTTTTTATTTTTTGTTGTTTTATACTTTTACGTGACTTTACCGAATAGAACCAAAGAGTATGGATCCTTGCAGTCACGAAAGCTTCAAATCTAGAATTTATTCCATCCAGTTCGAAGCGCTTTTCTATCTTTCATACAGCGAAGAGCACTGGTGGCTTCTTCAAGTGTGACATCTCGAACCTCTTGTTTTTTTCTTTTAAATGAAGATCTGCATAGCCTTCCTCCCCCATTTTCACAAACATTTCTCTAATCGTGAATTATGGTTCAATCTGGCGAAGGGATATTTGCGATTTACCGATCACTAACTTCCTTCTTGCTGTTCTCATGTGGCCCCATTGCTTGTTATGACATCTTCCATAATTTTGGTGTTGTTTTTCTCAATATTTTTTGCCTTTTTTTTCAAATGGTTATACAGAGTTCTGTGAATTTATTTTATTTCACATTTCCATTATATTATTGTATGTTAATATATTTACTTCACCATACACCTCTCTTTGCACTGTCTAAAACAATGATAGTCGAATTATGTATAGTGGTGACATCCATTTCGTTATTTTGCTTGTCTATAGATTTGAATCTATTGCTAAATCTAACTCTACATTATACTACCATAGTGTTATGTTTAGTTTGAAGATTATAAAATAATACTTTGTCGTGTGTGTGTGTATATATAAGAACTAATATTGTCAAATGCCATGAACATGCTTTTCTTACACTGGAGAATGGCAATTAATCCCACCGAAAATAACGTTTGGAAATTAACTCTGGTATTTGTGACCAAACGATAACAATCAAATTGGCTACACGGTCACAGTGTGAATTGGAAAGTTTATGATAGCCACCCTTTGTATATGTACTTACTGGATACGACTTCAGCATCTGATAAGGCTTAAAATATAGGCCAGCAAACACCATTATTGGATACACACAAACACTACATTGCATTCGAGCCATGTTATGTATGCAATTTTATATCTGGAAGATCTTCTTTTTCACCACTGGGTACAAATGACACATTTGAAAAGTAAACAAAATAATATTTGAATGCATAGTTTTACATTTCAATATGTTAAGCGTGTACTTCGTGTTTATAAATTTTCATTCATAAAATAGCGTAGTCTCTGGTATAGCAAATTATGTATATATACCAGTTCTCTAAAGCAGAGATACTACATAGTGTGAGGTGCCTACGGTCTTTACGGAGATGGGCAGTATCTAAATTCTAAGTAATTTAGATGTATAATTGATTTAATTTGTATTATTATCACGCCTATTTTTTTCCCAGGAAAGCCTCACTGACTCTTTTTGTCTAGGAGGATCCTGCCAAGTTTTCACAGTAGAGGGACGATGTTGCTCCGTGTACTCTAAATTGAGTAGTTTAGAGGCGATATTTCAGCATTGAAATATTTGGCTCATGACAGTTATACTGTATCTTTATTCTTGCTATGGGAGGAAACCAAAGAATACGGAGGAAAGCCATGCAGAACTGAGAGAGAACACAGCAACTCTATACATAAAGTCGGGAATCGAAACCCAGGACCTTCTGGGAGGGGCAAACGTTACCGTCGCTTCACTCGACTGCCCTTATACATTTTTTTAATTTCGTTGAAAATGTAATTTGTATATTAAAATAATAAAACGAAAAACTAATTGGCAATTTGTATCTACATTACACAATACACAGTTCATTCGTATTCGTATCTCCATTACATGACTCTTGTAATTTATAATTTGATTGTATTTTGCTACGGAGCATAATGGAATGTGGTATGCTGGGCTGGCACTGATGTTTTCCCTTTAAATATATATTTAACTATACTCTTGTTCCCCACTTTGTTACTCTGAGCCTCCCAGTTTAAATGTACAATGAAATAAACATTCCGAGGCTAGATGACCACAGGCTCCCAGCGAGCGAGCACAGGTGGGTGAGGTCTCCGATGTGTTTTTGAGTTGTACCGAGTGGTTTGTGTGGCATGATGTGCAACGTTTCGCTCTCCGGAACTGGATAAGCTTCCAGCACATGGTAATGAAACGTCCAACATGATGCAACAACGTGCGGTAGAACTTGACAACACATCAGACATCATGCCGAACAACATGTGGTACACGTCAATAGTAGCAGGTGGCAAATCGGTGTTTGAGTCACAGCAAATAAACAAGCAGAGACACATGGGATAAAATGATCAATTTCTGTCATCGGAATAACAGCAAAAGAAGGAATTGTGATTGAACGGATATGAAAGCCAGGTATACACAGATAGCAACATCTAATCATGGCCATTCGAGCAAATTCTGGATTCAGAGTGGATCAAAAACATGGGTAAAGAGAGCGAGGATTAGGATTATGGAGAAGATGGACGAGGAAGAACGGATGTGTCTGTTAAGGGAATTAATAATGCGATAGGAAATGCTGGGTGGCAGTTGGGAGATTTGGATAAAGAGGGTGACGCGTTTAAATGAGTGCAAGGCTCAGAGAATGAAGAGGACTGCCCTAAATTTTTCGAGGGGTTCATATGTATGTATGTATGTTGAAGTAATACCACGTACAATTGTATTCCTTGTAAAGGCAACACATGTTCATATAATTAAAATACCCCCCTCTGCTCTCCGCACTTGATGGGATCACAGCGATGAAATCATCTTGCTCTATTTAAGATCGGAAGCAGGTGGATTGCTTCACTATTCTGGCAAATCGCCCGATAATGCTGGATGTAATTACCAGCGAAACGTCGTACTACTCAAAATTGTAAATATTGTGGATTTACTCTCCAACACACCGAATGTCTTAAATCCCCCCCACCCACCGCTTCTGTTCTCGCAGCAGCATAAATGGATAAGCCGCAGTCAGTCAGTTGAGAAGGTTGTGTATGTTTAACACGTAGGCATTCGCGACCAATATTACTCATAATAAAGGTTTGTTGGTTAGATCGCGTTATTTATAAATGTGTCATAACCCTCCACCACCCGACACGGCCAAACAGTAAAAAATGTGTCACGTTTACAAAAGACAAATAATTCACTACTTTAGCCCACCGGTGTGTTGAAGAGTGAATCCACAACATTTAAAATTTGAGTTCGACGTTTCGCTGGTAATTACATCCAGCATCATCGGGCAATTCGCCAGAATGGTAAAGCCCTCATTTGCTCCCGGTCTTAAATAGAGCAGCAGGGTGACGTCATCATTTAACTCATTTCAGGTGCAGTGATTTGAGGCGGAGGGGGGGTTATTGTAATTATATAATCGATTGGTAATCAGTCAATGGTTATGATTAGTAATGAGTTGTAGATTAGTAATTAGTTGTAATGTGTGTTATTGCGATTATATGCTACGTTAGTAATCCGTTCATTAGTATGTGTTTCTCCTATAAGGAATTGTAATATGTATTATTTAATAATACGCTTCCAAGCCACACTAAGCCTGTAGCTGTCAGAGCGATTAAAGTTATTTCTGTTTCTCTCAATTTCAATGGATTCTCTCAATAGTCTTTGCCAGTAATAATTAGTTTTACACAACATTTCAACGTTATGAAAATCAATTGAGTGTCCTTGTTGACAAGCATGTTCTGCCACTGCCGACAGTTGTGTAAAAGATAATTTAATATTTCTTTGGTGTTCTTTTCGTCTTATGCTGATGTTACGTCACGTCTGTCCAATATAGCATCTGCCACATAAACAATTAATCCGATATACACCTTCTGTTGATAATTTAGGTAATTCGTCTTTAGGGCAAGATACTAGTTTTTGAATTTTGTGTACTGTACCAAATCTTACTGTAACGTTTTGCTTTTGCAAAACACGGGCTAATTTGTCAGTTACTCCTGAGATATATGGAATTTTAATTGTTTTAACAATCTGATCGCTTTCAGCAGTGTTGCTTTGTGATCGTGATTTGGCATTCAGTGCTCTGTTAATTTGAGTATTATTGTAGCCATTATGTCGTAATGCTTCTTTAACGTGTTTGATCTCTCTCACTAGACCTTGACCATCTGACACTATTTTAGCCCGATGTATGAGCGTCTTGATAAGAGAGAATTCCTGATCTGGATGATGAAACCCCTTAGCGCAGTGTTCTTCATTACAAAGCCCGCGGGCCACTGGCGGCCACTGGCGGCCTTTAATGCGGTCCCTGCCGTGAGGCCCCCGACAATTCAAAACAAATCGTGAAGACATCCCTTGGCAGGATAGTGTGGCGGCCCTCACACTGATGACGTCCTATCTGTGAACGTGATCACCCTCTGAAAACGAGTGAAGAACACTGCTGAAACGGGTCCATGTTTAAAAGGGCGACATCAACAGAGTCGATGTTAAAATACATTTCAACAAACGTTACACTCCCAACTGGTGAACGCTGCAGAAAAACCGTCACTGGTGTTAATTACGATAGTGACATTTTTTATATGGGGGCTAGCCCCCATATCAGCCCCCTCTCTGCTCCTTGCTGCCCGTCATGCAAAGAAGCCCCAAACGAAGATTCCGAGCACCGCGATGAGCAGCGCATTCGTGTCGGCCACGCGTCGCCACGTCCGTGTCTCGCTGATGGACTCGGGTCCGACGACAGCTCTGGGGGCATCCCCTCCGCTGGACGGGGCCGTCGACGACCCCGAGAGGCCACAGAACCACGCGCCAGCGTGCAGAAGCCACCTGGCCACTCCTGGGTGGTGGGGGGCAATTGGGCGGGCAAACGCAGCGAGTGGTAATGGTGGCCGATATGGTGGAGTGATGGTGATGGAGAAAAAAAGGGGTTTGGGTAGTGATGGTGATGATCACATGGGTGTAGGGTGGTTTTGTAGTGATGGTGATTGAGTAAATGGTAGTGATGATGGTGGATATAGGGTAGTGATGGTGATGAAGAGATTAGGGGTTTGGGTAGTGATGGTGATAATTACATGGGTGTAAGGTGGTTTTGTAGTGTTGGTGATTGAGTAAATGGGAAGATAGGTAGTGATGGTGATGATGGTGGATACAGGGGAGTTATGATAATGGTGAGAGGGAGTAGTGATGGTGGTGGAAGTGATGATTATTGTAGGCAGGGCTTAACTTCTCACTCAATATTTTATGGAACGCCGCTAGGCTGGTTTGGAGTAGGAATCATCAGTGTAAGGTACTACAACTAGAGTACACTGTACGTTTACCAATAATAATTCTATATTATTGTATCCTACATTTCTAAAATCCGATTAACACGTTTATAAAATATAATTGGAGTATCATGAAGACAAAGTAAGGCGAGATGGATGTGGTTCCACAAATACTGGCTGTTCTGGCTCATGACTGTTCTGGCTGACATGAAGCACCCTGTGGAGGGGAGACGGTAATTGTGCCAGAGGTAGTGGTGAAAGTGGTAAAAGTGGTGTCAGCGGTGCTGATTATGGTGAAACTAGTGATGGTGAAAGTGGTAGTGGTGATAGTGACGTCACCACGGCACCTGTGCCAAGTGCACCTGGCCTGGCACAGTCGCCGTGGTGATGTCACCGTCACTTAGTGGTGAATGGCGGGCATTGTTATTGTTGATAGTGCGGCAGTAGAAGTGGTGGTGGTCAAGGTGGTTGTTGTGGAAATTAAGGTGTGAAGCTTGTGTGTGTTGGTGGTAATGATGGTGGATGTGGTGGTAGTGTCGTGGTGGAGGTGGTGGAGGCAGTGACAGTGGTGGTGGTGACAAACTCAAGTGACATCTTTCCCACCTCTACTCTATCCAACTTTTCATTATTTAAGAACCTACAAATAACTCTCAGGGTGAAACTGTGTGTGGTCAGAGCAATCAACCAACTTTCAGAAAGTTGAGAACTAAAAAAAAACTGATTTGGAGTCGACGTAGGATACCATCATCATCAAACAAAGAAAAAGATCCCCCGTGTAGACTTAACAGACTGTTGGGGCAAGTGCTGTTAGCAAGCACCTATGAAGGCCTGCACGGTATTCGAGGGGGTGGGTGGCCAGCACCACACCTCACTGCCTTTGTCTCCCCAGTGGCGATGTTTACACACTGCACCAGGTGCTCATTCGACTGAGAAGAGGGCCCAGAACCAGTTTCAGATAATCGTCACTGGTATTGGCCGTGAGCGGGAATCGAACTCAGGTCGCCAGGTTCGGAGCGCATTGCGGTAAACGCTACACTATCCCTCCATCATCATCATCACCGCCGCTACCACCAACACCATTTTCATCGCCACCACTACCACCGTCATCACTATAAATAACCTGTGGTCAATAAAATAATAAGTGGAAAGCCAAAAGTGGTTGTTCCATGGACATATCTGTTAATTGGCTGGGAATGTGGATTATTCACTTCTGGCTCAGGTGCTACCAACAAAAGATATTACAACCCCCCACACATGTTTGAGCTTTGCATTCTGTTGAAGAGGGTATTTTATGTAAATGTGATGATGACAGTGACAATTATGATAGTGATAATTATTACCTGGTCGGCTCTGCTTCCCTTTGTCGGTGTCGGCATCTGAGTGGATGCTCAGGTCGAGCTCCTGCTCTCCGAGGGTCTCCCAGTCTTTGCCGTTATCCGGTAGGTGAGCTGCCGAGCCACTCACATCCATCGGGAATGTGGGGTTGTCATCGCCATCCATACGGCCGGGAGAGTCCTTTCCAGACGCATCCGTAGAGGTGCCTGCACCTACCTTCCATCGGCTCCACCATGTCAGACCAGCCAACTGCGAACACAAGGCACGCTTTACAGAAATCCTTGCACATTGAGTGATTATTAAAAACAATATTCATTTGTATGAGAGTGTAGAGAAACAGATGGATTCATTTTGATTTAAAGCTTTCGTGACTGCAGTAATTCATATTCTTAGTTTTTTCGTGACTTTACCGAAAAAACTAAGAATAAGATGGATTCATATTTATATTTATAATAGCCTACTTGGTGTACTGACTTCTACTAGCCATCTCTAAGCCCCTGCGAGTGTATATTTGGTGGATTGCACAAACATTGTTCTGTATGCGTGCCCCACCAACACCTTGCCTAAAGCCCTGGATTACAGGCTTGCAATTCAAGTGGTGTTGTGGATTTGAGTGGTTCACTCACAATCCTAAGGTTAAGGCTTCAAATCCAAATCATGGATCATTTCAGCCTATTATAAAATGAGTGCCACTCTGTGGGCCATCAACAATGATTGTCCCAGAGAACAGAGTGGTTTCTGCCATGGAAAGGTGTAATTTCCACCAACACTGACCAAGGGTCACCAGAAGAGAAGAGTGCCGCCTCAAACCTCATTAGAGTGCAAACTTAATTCTGAAGGTGCGGCTTTAATAATGAGGACTATTTTATGAACCATCACTGCACAAAAACAAACGTGCATTTGTCATGCTCCCATAGTGTAACAAACGTCTTAAAGCAAAGGCGTTTACGTGCATGCATTAGAGTGGCTACCTGTCCTGGTGTCACATGATCATTCATTCTCATTTTGACAGAGCTGCCATGGGAAATCTGTAAGTCGTCTTCCCATGCACCACTCGAGACGATGCGTTTACTTGTAGTTCTCCCTGCTTCCAGTGCTGCGAGATATTCACATTCTCACGACGTGGCCCAGATGTTTTTTAACCCCAGCGGTGGTGGCATTGCGTGGTAGGTAGCGCGCGCTGGGTGACTCACGTCCCTCTTCGTTCCAACCGATCGCCGGGTGACAAGCGACACGGCCACCATCACGGCGCCCACGAGGACGAAGAGCAGCACCGTGAAGTGCAGGAAGTGCACGCGAGCCAGCACAGGAGGCCGCGGATCTGGGTCGCCACACGCCGGTGTTCCGTAGCCAAAGTCAAGCCCCATGCGGATGACGCCCGTCAGAAAGCCAGCCATGAGACCCCAGAAGGCGCCCTGCCGCATGGCAATGCCACAAAAATAGAACATTTAACACGTTCGTCAATGACAGTGTGTGTGGCCTTAAAAGGAAAAACAATTAATAGGTGACGGTTATTTCATTAATTATTTTTTTCCCCGAGGCGTCCTCACATGGCCCTTACATACGTGATAAGGTGACACACGTGATACAGGTGGCACACGGGCAGATATAAATAAAATATTGCCGTACGATAATGGTTTGTCGAGAGAAAAACGGTGACGCACGATGACCATCTGGGCAAGCAACAGCCTCACGTGTGCCTGCTGTGAATGCAGTGACGCTGCACAATTTGTGACCCATTGTAAAGCGTGCCTTTAAAAATATATATATACAATCATAGTATGTTTTTTTATGTTTATTTAATCATGTGTTACTTGGTAGATGGATGAACACAATGTTGTTACATGTGCATTCTCACATACAGTACCCCCTCTGCTGTACTGTCTGCTAAAATAATCATAACTACGAATACTGTTGTTAAGTGGTTTTACAGAATTGCATATTTCGATAAAAGTGTACAAATGTTGAATCTCGAGCAAAGGGAAGCTTTAATCACGAATGTGTATATATCTATGTCAGGCTATATTCACTGATGAATGAAGTTTTCCAATGTGGTCAGCATTGTCTATGGTCTTTGACACTGCAATTCATAATTAACCATGTGTGTGTGTATATATGCATGTGTAGTGCACATAGCAAACACTTGTTTTGCTTCATCTGTCATTGAAAAACACCTCAGTGTTTTATTTTGATAGTCCTATAGTGAAGCGTGGTTAGCACATTGCACTATGAACCCTGTAATATGAATTCAATTCCCTGTCACGGCTAACATTATATCTGAACTGGTCTTTCCTGCACCTGTGATTCGCATGGTAGCTGCGAAAGAAGTTATACATACATGGCCTTGCACCTACCTGCCTTCATCCAGCAGTCAATTAACAAATGACAGCATATTATTTAAAATATTTGATAATGTGTCTCTATAATGCTCATGACATTTCAAGAAGCACATTAAAAATCCCATCTGTTAATGTAGTTAATCTGTAAAAATATATCAGATAAAATAAAACGCAAAGGCTTTGAAAAATTGTCCTTTTTCATAATGTCCTATTTCAGTCGAAGTGATTCAAATGACTACAAATTATCGAATGGTACATTTAATAATGTATACAAGTTCATAATGACAGAGCACATTTGTGTGTCCATAAACACTGCGTGTTAAAATGTAATGGAGCCTCAGCAATATTTGGGCAATGTGAATGAGATGAATGGTTTCAAGTTATAGTAGACTTAGCTGCCACTTTGCTCATACGATCCATTTATCCTCCGCTAAAAAAAAGCAGAACGGTGGTGGATCTACAGCAAACAACTTAGGTCAATACATTCAATCTCAGTGGCTACATTTCAGAAATATTACCTATTGAGCCAGCCCCTCAGGAATCCTGCTTTCACCCTTCAAATTTAGAGATTGAAAAATGTTTTACGAGTAGAGAGTTTGACGCCCTAATCCAAATGCCGACAACCATGCACACACGTTTGCACAAAGACCGCGAACCTGTCTTAACTGTTCCACTGTCCACTCACTCATGCTCAACTTTAGAGCCATAGCTGAAACACTTTGGCACTGCCTCCATCCCACCACAATTCGAGCCTCTAACCGCCATTGCTTGTTTGGTCCAACAAATCTGGCTACACATGAAGACGGTGCCCCACCAAAAGGGTGTCCGTCCAAATGCTGCCACCCAACCACTCCACCTCCGCCTTCCCTCTCCCCTCTGCTGTTCAAAATCAATGAGCAACAGGATTCAGTCTAGTGCTGCAAATTGGTGTAGCGCGGTGACACGCGCTCTGAATGTATGAGCTAAACAAGGTATCATTGACTTTGCATCGTGAGAAATTGTGCAGTGAGCATGCAATTGCTACCTCAGAATTGGGCCTGCTGGTCTCAAAGTTTGTGCACCTTTAATTGATTGGCCCTCGCTCACAAGAATCCATTCAGTGATTCTAATGAGCTAGGGGCACATGCATCTGCAGGTCTAATACTTCCATACCTCGGTCACCATCTGTACTGATATGTTTGTTGTGACAGAATGCATTCTCATGATCATCATCGGCCACAGGAAATCCACTGCTAGGATGAAGGCTCACCAAGCCGCCGCCATGTCGCAAGATCCTGCGATGTAATAACCCGCGTAACACCTGCACATAAACTTGTTTTTATCGTTCCATCTCCTCAATGGCCGTTGTCGCAGATGGATTCCATTGCAAGGATTGGCTTTACTTTTTTTTATCAGTGCACATTTTTTTTTACGACACATGAAGGCGTGTCGTTCCATGATGATGTTATTCACGGCGCCGTTTAAGGCATCATTGATGCCATCATGAAGTGCTTCTGCGAGGGAATTCTACCTGAACTATCATACACACCAATACTTGTTTCATTCAGAAACGTAAAATGTAGCGAAGCATTAATACAGTGTGTCTCAAACTCCCATTATCTCCACCCAACTACATTTCACTTCTTACTTATTGATCCAGGAGTGCCACACTGACTTGCCAAACTCTTTTTTTTTCTTAGGAAAGTCCTGCATCGGACTGTTTTATTTTAAGATGCATTTATACAAATGTGAGGAAACCTTGAACACCTGGAGAAACCCCCTACGCGTGCAAGGGGCAACACTCTATCCCTGTGTCCAGATCGAAACAGATGGCGATAAGTCCACTTGCTGTACTGCCTTGCCCTGGCAGGCCTGGGTATGGCACCTCGATGCACACGGGAAGGAAGTTTAATAACACTTGTGTGATCCACCAACCCTCGCCTCCACAGTGCTGGATTACAGGTGTGCGCCGCCACCACCACCACCCGCCTTTCCGAATGAACGGTATTTTCAATATGTAAGCAAATTCGAGCCGATACGTGTTGAACACGACTGGTGAATGGTAGCTGCGCCATGAGGAGGGTGGAAGGAAACGATGTAATAATTATACATATATATAAAAGGGAAATTTGTGAATGTGTGTCTGTTCAAAATGTTTAGCGTACTTCCCGCAATGCAACAAACTTGAAATTTGCAATGTTGGTACTTTTCAGACTGTACACCATGCAAAAATTATAAAAATAGACTTTTGTATCTTTTTTTGGGGAGGGGAGCTCAATAATGCATAGATTTTGCACGGAAAGTGAGCTGTGACGTCACATCTGTCATGTGACCCGCGCATGCGCAAGCGTAACGCAGTGTGCCTGCAGACGTCACCCCCCCAACCCTCCGCGGGTAAAGTGAAATACAAATGTGTTGCAATTCTAAGGCGTTATTCGCGCAGCATTGCTTTATTATTTCAGTCGTTTACTGCCGTACGCACCCTGAAAGTTGTGTGTGTCTGCAGCAAGCGCGTCTTTGTGTACCTATGGACGCGCGCGTCTGTGTGTGTGTCTGTGTGTGTGTGTGGGGGGAGCGGTAGTGTAGTGGTTAGCGTGCTGTCTGTGTGTGTGTCTGTGTGTGTGTGGGGGGAGCGGTAGTGTAGCGGTTAGCGCGCTGCGCTATGAACCTGGCGACCCGGGTTCGATTCCAGCTCACGGTCAACACCAGTGACGATTATCTGGACCGGTCCCGGGCCTCCCCTAGGTCGACTCAGCCTCAAATGAGTACCTGGTGCGGTGTGTAAATATCGCCACTAGGGAGACAAAGGCGGTCGGGCGTGGTGCTGGCCACCCACCCCCTCGTGTACCGTTCCGGCCTTCATAGGTGCTCGCTAACAGCACTTGACCCTACAGTCTGTTAAGGCTATACGGGGGATCTTTTTTTTGTGTCGGGCAAAAAAACCTACCTCCTCGCGGTGCCGGACGGGCAACCCTGTCGTGGACAGTGCTGTGGGGGGAGGTCCAATTCTGATTGGTTCCTCCCCTCATGGCGTCTGTGACCACCACAGTGGCTAAACGGGGGCTCTGGACGGGTGCGAGGGGCTGGTAACCCCTCCTCCAAAAATGTACCACTAAACCACGTATAAAATATCTAACTAATAAGCTTGTGCCGGAGGCCCTGGGGGGATAGGCGTCTATGACGTCTCCTGGCCAAACCCCAATTGGCGGAGCCAGGAGATTGAATCTCTATCCTCAGGGCTCCTCCAGAAACAACGAAAAGCCACTACGTGTGGCCACGTGGAATGTTCGAATGCTCACTGTGGAGGAGAGGCTGCCACTCCTCTGTCAGGAGCTGGACCGGTACCGCCTGGATCTCTGTGGTATTCAGGAGGTCCGGTGGACCGGTTCTGGCTCCTGCCACCATAAGGGGTGGACAGTCCTCTACTCGGGGCAGCAGACTGCCAAACAACAGGGTGTGGCTCTTCTTAAGAACAAAAGAATGAAGGGGGCATGGGAGCGTGGCGGTGAGGTGTGGGAAGTTGTAAGCCCCAGGCTACTTTGGGCTCGCCTTCCCATCAATCGGAGGCGAGGAGTCGTGGTCGTGGTTACTTATGCCCCCACCGAAGACGAACATCCATGGATGGATGCAGGCAAAGCCGATGAGTCAGATGCCTTCTATGACCTGTCACAGGTGCTGGCTAAAGTGGCCCCTCGGGATAGAGTCATCTTGTTGGGTGACTTCAATCCCCGAGTGGGTCATGATGCTGGCACCTGGTCTGGAGTGATTGGAGGGCATGGGCCAGATCAGCTCAATAACAACGGTAGGAGGCTGCTAGATTTTTGTGCAGCCCATGGGCTTGTAATTACCAACGCGCTGTTCCGGCATCCACACAACATCATGGATGCATGCCGGGTCCAAGCAAGAACATCTGCTGGACTACATAGTGATGGACCAGCGGATGCGAGCCCATGTCCTTGACACCAGGACCTACCATGGAGCTGATCTGCCCTCTGACCATCGACTTGTCATCTGTAAGATGCGCCTGCCATTCTTCTGCTCTGTGGTGGGTGTACACCCAGGACCCCATTCCAACCTAAAGTGGCATGGTCTCAGTTATCTGATGAAAGTTGCAAGCGAGCATTCCATCATCGCCTGCGGCTGGGGTTGGCATCGTCCCCCACTCCTCCGGATGTCGAGGGTAAATGGGCGAGGTTTAGGACTGTCACTCATGCAGCTGCATTGGCTGCTTTGGGTACGCGGTCCAGACCTCCCCAGAGACCCTGGCTGACAGAGGAGGTGTTCAGGATAGTTGAGAAAAAGCGACAGGCCCACTGTCATCGGCTACAAAATCCCACGTCAGAGAATGAGGAGGCTTACCCAGCAGCCTTCGCTCGGAGGTTCGGAGAGCCGTGAGGCGCTGCAAGGATAGGTGGTGGTCGCGGGTTGCTGAGGAGATGGAGTCTGCCTCAGTGGCCCGCGATCACAAATCTCTATTTAACTCCATCAAAAAAGTAACCTGCAGCGCCACACCTTTTACCATCATTAGGGGAAAAAACAGTGATCCAATCTCCGACCCCCAGGAACAGGTTTGCAGATTTGCTGAGCATTTCTGTGAGGTCCTGGGGGAGGGAAAATCCCTCAGCCAGGAAAACATCGTGGCACAAAGTGAGGATGACCCTGCTGAGGCTGCGGTGCCTCAAATATTGGAAGAAGTCACCCCTGTGAGTGGCTGGCTGAGGTGCCATCTGTTGAGGAAGTACTGAAGGCGATCCGGAGTCTGAGGGAGGGTGACATTTGTGCACAGACTGCCCTATATGACATCATAACAACAGTCTGGACCACTGGACAGGTTCCACAGGATTGGAAGGATGCCCTGGTGGTCCCCCTCTTTAAGAAGGGGGACCGCACAGACTGTAACAACTACAGGGGCATTTCACTCCTCAGTGTACCAGGAAAGGTCCTGGCAAGGATCGTCAACATCGCCTTGCCAGGCATGCTGAGTAGAGGCTTGCGGAGCCCCAATGCAGTTTCAGGAAAGGGCGGTCCGGCACAGATGCTATATTTTCTGTCCGTATGCTACAGCAGAGGTGTAGGGAATTCCAACAAGACCTACATCTCTGCTTTATTGACCTGGTCAAGGCCTATGATACCATCAGTAGGCCTGGGCTCTCGGTTGTTCTTTGTGCTTTTGGAGTACCTGACCCTCTGCTCACGATCATTAAGAACCTTCATGATGGTGAGCGGGCCCGGGTAAAATTACGTGGCCAGGAGTCAGAGCCATTCCCTGTACAGCTTGGGGTGTGATAGGGATGTCCTCTGGCTCCCACATTATTTAACATCTATTTTGACCACATAGTTCGTGAAGCCTTCAATAGCTGTACCAGGGGAATCTCCATATGGTACAGATATAATTGGAGGCTGATTGATGCCCGGGTGCGGTCAAGGGATGGCTCCCTATTGCTCGACCACGTTACGTATGCCGATGATTTGGTAATAGCTGCTCATTCAGAGGAGGCGTTGGAGACGCTGCTGCTGAGACTGGAGCGTGCTACTAAGAGATGGGGCCTTACCATGAGCCCCACCAAAACTAAGCACTTGCCTGGGTATTTTGTACCATCGGACACTCCACCCCCACAACTCCCAATCGGTGATGGGGCAGTTGTGGAGAGAGTGGAGAGTTTCCCATACCTGGGCAGTGTACTTATGACCGGCTCCAGTTTAACAGCAGAGGTCTCACTCCGAATCAGTCGAGCGGCAACATCTTTTCATCGGTTGCGTAACGCTGTGTGGAAGCTACCTAGTCTGTCGCTCCGCACTAAGCTTCAGGTCTTCTTGGCCACGGTCATTCCCTCCCTCCTCTATGCTTGCGAAACGTGGACCCCCCTAATGGAACATCTTCGCCGGTTAGAAACATTTAGGCTGGCCTTCCTACGATCCATCCTGGGTTTAACCAGGCTGGATTGTGTGAGGAGCTCACAAATCCTTAAAAATCTGGGCACGGTCCCATCGGTGAGCTCCTCCGGCAGGCAATGCTGCGTTGGCTGGGTCATGTAGTCCCCATGCCCAGCCACCGCATGCCGAAACAGCTTTTGTTCAGCCAGATCGAGGGGCCTAAACGGGCGTGGCATGGGCTAGAGAAGAGATGGAGTGATGTGGTACAGGAGGACGTGGAGCTGAGTGGACTTGCCGATGACTGGTACCAGCGGTGTCAAGATCGGCCTCTGTGGAGGAGGCTCGTGAAGGACGCTACTGAGCAGTTGGAGGCAGTCGCCCTCCAACAACAACGGAGGGTAGAAGAGCGACGCTCGCAACAACGAGCGGAGTGCCGGGTGGCTAACGCACAGCAGGTTGGCACAGTAGGGGGCACAGGTGGTGCATCAGCCAGTCATCTCAGTCAGTCGACCCGTGGCACCTGGGTCTGCCCCGTGACCTCCTGCCAGCGGGCGTTCGACACTTCACGTGGCCTCAAGGTGGACATGGCCTGGCACAAGCGTCGTGGTGACGTCACCGCCACTTAGTGGCGAATGGCGGTTGTTGTTGTGTGGAGGGAGCGGTAGTGTAGCGAGTTCGATTCCCACTCACGGCCACCACCGGTGATGATTATTTGAACTGGTCCTGGGTCTCCGCCTCAAACGAGTAACTGGTGTGGTGCGTGAACATCACCACTGGGCAGACAAAGGCGGCCGGGCATGGTCAATCCAAATCCCGGGCGAAGCCGGGTAGGAAAGCTATTAATGTATAAACAGCACACTGGACTTGCAATCTAGAGGTCGCTGATTCTTAAATAGCCCCACCTCTGTCCACCTACCAGTATAAATGGGTCCACCGCAATTAGATGATCGGCATGTCGTGTATGGTGTTGTAAAAGTAGGCCAAATAAACCCTTTAGAGGGAGCTCTAGAGACAGCCCTCTAGAGAGGCTCTCTCGTGGAAACCCTGTCACCGGTATGGTGTGAGCAACCAATTGCAGGGATTAACATTTTCCCTTACTTACTGACATGGTCAACTCATGCATGCATTAATGAATTCATACTGACAGTCCACAAACCGCAGCAACCGTGGTGCAGACCTGCTCATTGAATCCCTCCCAGAAGATGGAGAGCAGGTAGACCATGAGGATGGGTGGAGCGAAGTATCCTGTCACAGACTGGATGTAGTCAAAAAGCTGCCCGCTCTGTGAGGCTTGCAGCACGGGGATCCACGCGATGCTCAGCCCCACCAAGACCAACACAAAGACCCTGCGGGGAGGTGGAGGAACAGCGCCGCTTTGTTTGTCAAACGTCAAAGTGTCTCCCTGTTCAAACGAACATTAGTGGCCTAAGGGGTCGAGTTGGGCTTTGTGAAGCTGATGTCCCTACTGAGAGCACGAGCCATGTCGACATTGGCTTGGGTGGGTGGGGGGGGGGTCTCAAATCAATGTATGTGATTGTATTGCAAATTAATTGAATAAAAACAAAACTGTTTCTGGTGACTGCCTTCTATTGTGACAGTATCGTCATCTGCAGCAGCAGGAGCAGTCGCAGCAGTATTTTATAGAAGTGTTTGCGATGCTTGAAACAAGCACTCACTTGTCCACGTCATGGGTCAATTCTGCTCGGTTCTCAGACAAATCTGGTCGCGGGATTTAACTTGTAAAAGATATATATATATAGGCAAATGGAGCACTCTCCTTTCATAAATACATTAACCTCATTTTTCTCAGTCTCATCTCTCATAACAGAGCTCAGCATGAGCTGAAAGGATTTCAAGGATTTGAAACGTTTTTGAATTTGTTTTGCACGTAACATTTCTGACTGCATGTTTGGGTATAATTTTCCTTTGATACATTTGTAGATGATTCAACTGAATCGCAGACGTACTCTTTGGAGGCAACACATTTATAAATAGCAACACATTAACACAAAGGGGTTGCTGCCCCTTTACCAGATAACCTATGGTGGTGGACCACCAGGTTAACTACGTTAGTTACTGGGAGTCACTACAATGGAGAGGACCCTCGCTGGGGTCCTCGTCCACGTGTAGGTGACTTCTTCTTGGACGTAGAACGTAGATCTTCAGATGATGGCAGCAACGCTGAACCCCGGTCCCTGTGCGGACCCCGCTTTGTATGCTGCTGGGTAGTGCTTGGCCCCGCCCTTGGCCACGACCACCTACGAGAAACTTCTTGTCGTTTCTCGCCCTTCCCGTAGGATCTTACCCTGACATGTGACCACCCCCAAGCCCCCCCACCTGGGGCCCCTGTGTAGATCTTACTGGTCACGTGCCTCCCAGGGTCAACCAGAGTGCCATGGCCTAAGGTAACCTACTCTTTGGTTTTATTCGGTAAAGGTGGAATAGTCACAGAAGAATATCTGTGTCAAGTGCACAGCTCTGAGACGATCGGGTTTATATATAGGTTAAGCGGGGGGGGGAGGAGCCAGAAAGGAAAGTGGGTGGGTGAGAGGGCTGAGTTAAGCAGTTTTTTATTTTGAAAACGACGAAGCAGTTTATATATAGGTTAAGGTGAGGGGGAGGAGCCAGAGGAGCCAGAGCTGTGCACTTGACACAGATATTCTTCTGTGACTATTTCACCTGAAGACGGAAGCTTGTGTTGCCTCCGAAACGTCGTGATTTAATTGCTTTCTTCTATTTTGTTTTATTTTTACCTTACGTGACTTTACCGAATAAAACCAAAGAGTATGAATCCTTGCAGTCACGAAAGCTTCAAAACTAGAACTAAGGTAACCTCATCCCATGGCTGACACTCTCACACTTCCTCCTGTAGGAGTCAGCACTACACGCCACGCGTGGTGCCACTGAGCGCTATCCCAGTGCTCACCGAGCCCCCTCTAGGGTTGGTACGCGGACACCCACCTACGGGGTGTCCGCGATGACGATGCATCGCACGCCGTGCCTCGCTAGAGCCGGCATTACACAGTGACATACACGATTTCTCTACATATGTGATGTCACTACACACGTGATGTCTGCGATGTGAGTACATCGCACGCCGTGCTCCTCTAGGGCCGGCACCATACAGTGACATCCGCGATGTCACTACACATTGAAACTAGTCTTTCATTGTTTTTCAAGAAAATAAGAATCATACAAATTATTCACCCTCGGAAAGCATCATTGAAACTCAAGATACATTTTCAGGAGAGTCCTGCACCAGGATGTTTGGCCAATTCTATAAACATGTGCACCTTTTACTTGTTTATACATTCATAGTTTTATATTTTGGGAGGAAATTATGCCCACAAAACCTGGAAATCTCTCAACGTCGCACATCTAAGCTCTAACCAGGCATATATACCCTGTTTTGCTTCTGAAATACAGTAAGATCAGGCACAAAATCCGGGAAAGTCCCCAACGAAAGACAAACATTATACTCTAAATTGAGGGCATGTTCAGAAAAATGCAAATATTTTTTGTCTCTCTCTTAACTGTCTACAACCAGTGCTTCTCAAAGTGTGGACCACCGGTGGTCCGTGACGATCCTCATGGTGGTCCGTGGAGTTGTGAATCAACTGCAGATTGATCCGGAAATAATGACATTTTCATTAATATTCTACTTATTATATATTAATGCAGTTCGGCAAACTACCTTGATTAAACTACCCTAACCCTAAGATTTAAATTCCCCCCCCCCCCATCTAAAATAAACCTTACAGTTGCGTAATTTTGTTATGTTCCGTTAATATGAATCATTTAGTATGAGTGGTATTTAGAGAGAGAAGTGCATGCATTTTGTCACCAGGAGTTGGGGGCTGGATGTTCAGCAAAAATGTTTGCATCGGCTGAGTAGTGAGCAGGCCAAAAAACGTTTGAGAAACACTGGTTTATAAGTATCACATAGGTCATTACTTCTCTGCGTGTACATATATGTACAAACACAAATCTTTCAGAAAACGCAATTAGCTTTGATATTAAATGTCCCCTTTAATGGGCTGGCTTTTCGTGAGCGGGCAGAGTGGCTGCAGATCAAAAGGACAAGTCTCCTGCACTTTGTAACTTTGTGAAAAAATATAAAAAAAAACCTTTGAAGTTATTTTTGGTTGACCCTGTCAACTTCCCTTGGGATGTAACGGCCTACTGAAAACTTTTGGCACTTTAGAGAAAGTGCAGAGCTGATTTGTAAATAGATTTTTTTTTACCTCTGCTCCAGTGCTAATTCACAGTCCATGTGCGCAATGGCGTACATGTTCCAATGCATTAAATTACTACGGATGGTCATATATATTTCCCTACATGGGTGGCAAAGTTTTCATATTTTAGTCCTACTCCTAAACTTCTACAAATATGTAGATAACTAATAGCTCTTTCAAATGATCTAATTGGGATCATCAGAACGTGACCTATAATGGCCTGAAAGCACATTGTATTATTCACAATTTATCGTAGTATCTAAAGGTCTTATAAAAGGTGAAGGCGGAGAAGGTGCAGCCCTGCAATTACTTGCTCAATCCTGCTACGAGCGGAAGGGCTTCCACTAGAGGAAGCTCTTGGAGAGCCCCCAATTGGTATTTTCACCTATTCTTCACTGGCCTGACGTCTTGGAAGAGGTGGGATTACCCACACTTTACCCCACCGAACACGACTGGCCGATCAACTAACCTAGTGGTACCTATTTATACTGCTGGTGGACAGTGGTGGGGAGGGTTTTTTAAACTACTTATTTCTTCAACTGTGGCACGAGGAGATCGAAAATGTGTACTAACCATTACCCCATGGCAACGTCTCTCGTGGACCTTGGATTATGGAATTCTTATGGAAGTGCAACGTAACATATTGCACTTGAGTATATTACTGTGTGCTTTAACATCTATTGTACATACGCGTGAAAGTCAGCAAACAGGTGGATGGTAAGCTCTGGTGAGGTGGTAAGCAGATTGTGCTGTGAATCCCACGACCTGAGTTCGATTACCAAGACGGACATCAGTGATTAGTGGCATCTGAACTGTTCCTGACAAAACCCCTCCTTTACCAACCCACACTGATCAATTATGCTAAAACAACCTCCATAACTGTCACAGCATGAAGAAGACCTCATCCAGCAGTGGATTGACAAGGGACCATAAATTACTATTATTGTTAATTATTCATCAATATGTGTGTGTTATGGATGGCAACAATCTGGTCACAGTAAATATCAAGAGGCCACCCCAGACAATGCCCTTGAATACTGTCATTAGGCAGGGTGCTTTAAGATCCATGAGGACAAGGGCCATATAAAATGAGAAATGTAATAAGTAAATAAACAACAATAACAAAAACATGTTCACGATGAAACAAGCACGGCCCTCAGTACTCACTGCCACTGGAGGTCTCAGACAGTGGTGGAAATTCCGCACCTCTGTGATGTGACCCCCAGAGGGAAGATCATTGGGATTAAAATCCCGTGACTCTCCGATTAGGAGTCGTGTGATTTAACTACAACAAGGAATGGCCGGCTAGTTTCATCATCATAATCATTGAACCTGCCTCGAGGCGCCCTGCAGCAGGTGACCCCCAGTGGCAGCTGTCTCTGTGCAGTCACAAGGTGAAAGCAGCACCAGCCAGCAACTGCGCATTCGTCTGTCAGTAGGGGGGAGATGTTGCTCAGTGGCTTCCCAATTACATAACTACGAGTAATTTATCATATTTGGACCATGATGCCTGCACACAAGCACTTTTATTTTTTTCACATTAATTAATGGGATATTTGAATCGTCCCTGTGAAGCAGATGACACACGTACATGTAGGGTCAATACACCTGCAGTATTAACCAGGGTGACTGCCGGGATCAAACCATGACCCCGTGCAACCAGCGGCAAACGTTCCACTGCTGGGCCACATCATCGCAGAGTCTTATTGTTGGCACCATCTTCTTTAGCTACAGCCCGACGTGTGTGCGAGTGAGGGCTGCGGACAGGACCTGCCGACAATCATGAGCTCTTGCTCGCTCGCGCGTGGCCGTAGGCGAGCCCACAAGTCCATGGTGAAGATGGTGCTGCTGCTGTTGAAGACGGACGTCAGCGAGCTCATTAAGGCAGCCATCATAGCCGCGAGCATGACACCCTTCAGCCCTGCAAGCAAAGACGTGCACAGGTGCACAGACAACGATCCCACGCGTGGCACGGGACAGACTGTTAGAGCAAGCGCTGTTAGAAAGCACATTTGAAGGCCGGCACAGCACACGAGGGGGTGGGTGGCCAGCACCACGCCCGGCCGCCTTTGTTTCTCTCGTGGCGATGTTCACACATCGCATCAGGTACTCATTTGAGGCTGCGTAGACCTAGGGGAGGCCCAGGACCGTTTCGGATAATCGTTACCGGTGTTCTGCCGTGAGCGGAAATCGAACCCGGGTGCGCCAGGTTCGTAGTGCAGCGTAGCGCTAACCGCTACACTGCCGTGTGTGTTGAACTTCTTTCACACCGTACGTAGACAACCGCTCTAATCGGAGAAATACGTTTTCAATCTAGATTTAAAAGTGCATAGCTCCAGTGGCTTCCTAATATCGGAATGAAGAGCGTTCCAGATGGCTGCAGAGGCGCATCTGAAAGCGCGCGGTGGGGTGACTGTCTTTGTTTGATGGTTAGCCAAAAGCCGCTGTGAGGATGACCGTAGTTTGATCTATACGATGTAGACATCCATGCATGCACACATACTCACACATCAAAGATAAAGGGCGCTCTTTGTAGCCAGGCTCGACTGTTGTTGTGGAAATTGCTCTGAGCGAGCATCTGGTAAGCCAAGCATAGCACGAGTGGGTGGTGACATGGTTAGCAACTTTCCCTACCACATGTCTCCCTGGTGTTGATGTTTACAAAGCACACCAGCAAACTCGTTCAAGGCTGAATTGACCTATGTAAGTCCTTGGACAGGTTCAGATAGGGCTGGTCACCGATGTCATCGTGTCCAGGAATCGAACCCAGGTGGCTGAAATTATGAGTGCACCAGCCACTACTGCTCTTCTGTACAACTGCGCTAAAGGGTACAAGAACACAAATACGTACACGTGCACACGCAATAAAGCATACAGCTTGCACGTGCACAGGCAAAAAAGCCCCCCCGTTTTGCCTCTAACATGCTGTTGGGGAAAGTGCTGTTCGCGAGCACCTATAAAGGCCGGCACGGCACACGAGGAGGTGGATGGCCAACACTACGCCCGGCCAGTCTTTCTCTCCCGATGTTTACACACCGCGCCAGGTACTCATTTGATGCTGAGTCTACCTAGGGGACGCCCAGGACCGGTTCAGATAATCCTCACCGGTGCTGAAAGTGAGCGGAAATCGAACTCGGCACACCGGTTCATAGCGCGGCGCGCTAAGCGCGACACTTTCGTTCCCCACGTGCACACTCACAGAAAGCACACACAGCGAAATACGTGTTCTTCTTTATGGCGTGTTACCGCATGCCTCACTGAATGTGATTCAAGGTGATAGCGAAATGCATCATGGCTGAAGTCCAGAACAGCGTCGTTGGTATTATAATTTACTTCATTGCGCGACTCTCAAGCGGCGCTCCTCGACAGAATGACAAATGACTTCACCTCTGTCATTATCAAGGCTAAGGCAGAAGGCATTAATATCATGACATCCGGTGTCTGACACTGCACAGTCATAGCCATGACCGCTGTGTTGTGACCAATCGAGCGCAGCTTTTGCCGCCGAGGGCAGTGTACGGAATGGGGCTAATGAGATACGCCCAAGATGCCGCCCTAAGCACTGGCTAAATAAGCGACAGGTTGTCCGACTTTCGGTAGCGTCGCCTTATTTTGAGCTCACGGTCAATATCAAGAGGCCATCGTGGCCCATTGATAACTCCACACCTCGCCGTTGCTTGCTTCCCTCCTTTCTGCTGTCAGTTCCTGCAACATCAGATCTTACAATCTCATCGTCGTCGTGTTGCTTTAGGTCTTCCCCGCAGTTATCAAGCACTGGGTGTGACTCCAATGTATGTCTTGGTAACCTGCCCCCTCTGTCTTGAATTCGCTCCCATACCCAAAATAATCTCCACAATGGTTTCATGCTATATTGTAACCCTACTAGCAAAAAAAAAACCCACAGTTTAATTAGTATTGGCCAAATATCCAAATGCTGAAAAGTGCTGGTCATTTCGGGAATACGCATCGCAAAGTCGCCCCTCCCCACCGTGAAAACTTCGAAGGACCCTCCTGGAAAAAAGAGTCTTGAGACTCAGTGAGGATTTTTTCCTGGGTGAACAAGCGTAATCATAATCATTGCTTACCTAAAGTGGTACAATAACAGGTCCCTGCAGGGTGGGCTGGTAGGAACATTGGAATTTTGCTCAATTTTAGTTTTACACCCCAACAGCACGAGATTTCACTTCGTTAAAGTATTGAAAGGGGACGGACGGACGGACACATTAATCTATTGCAGGCTGGTACACTCAGTTTACAACTTCGTTCCTACCAGTATAAATGGGGATCCCTCTATATGTTTCTTTTATAGAAATAGTGTAAGTGTGGTTTGCTTATAAGGCCCCTATTTGCCGTGGGTTTTCCACAACACGTGTATGTACACGAGCAGTCCATATTGATTTGAACGTTAAACACTTACCCTGTTCTGAAATTCACAGGACAATACATTTGTCAGCATATAAATCTAAAGAATGTGCACCTATAATCAAATAACTTTGCACACTTATTTCAGCTCATATTTTCTTTGTCCTTGTTTCGGACAGCAGGTGATCTATACTGATATCTCAATGGTATCCAGCTGCGGATTAATCATGGTTGTTGATGATAACGTTGCAGTGATAGTCAACGGATCTCCAAGTGAGTGGCATTCCATTGGAAGATGATGAGAATGATGGTGATGATGAAAAACTGTAATTAATACACCTAGAATTGTTTTTAAATAGCAGAAGCAGCCTTGGATTCAGACTTAGGTGACTTACCTGCCATGTCCATCCAGTGCTCGCTGAGCTACATTGGCTTCCGGTTGCCAAACGAATATATATGGACGCACTCATTACACACAAAGTGCTTGCCAAAAATGAACCACAATACCTTGCTGATCTCGTCAAGGAGTTTAAACCATCAGGCGAACTCCGGTCATCATCACAGCAGCGGTTTCTGGCTGGCCATCGAACAAAGACAGTGGTCACCGCATCACGTGCTTTCAGACGCGCATCTGCGGCCGTCTGGAACACTCTTCCTTCCGATATTAGAAAGCCACTGAAGATATGCACTTTGAAACCATTTAGGTTGAAAAAAACTCATCGTTTCAGAACAGTTTTTTGTTCAGTTTGTTGTCCTTCCCCCGCACCTCCGATTAGCATGGTCGGTTATGTACGGTGAGAAATAAGTTAAACGCACAATTTTCAACACATACATACCTGGAGGCATGAGCTCCACCACCAGTTTGGGATAGGCAATGTTGGTGCAGCCGGCAGGGTTCCCACAGGCCTCCTGGCAGGTCTCCCGCGTCGCGCACGCCACCTCCTCTGGCACGTCGGCACACGTGGACGAGACGCTGTAGTGCCGTGATAAATCTACCGCTCCGAACAATGGGTTTCAACAACCAATTGTGTCTGACCGTGTGCTTAACCGCGTCGAGATCTTAACTGGGAAACAGAAAATCGCGAGTTCAAATTCGAATGAACATGTCATCTGTAATGCATAATTGTTGAACTCGACAGTGACTGTGCAATTCCAGGAAGGCCCATCTCTCCTGTGGATCGATTTGTCTCTGACACATTACCCGAATTAATGTTTTTCTTTATCTTAGAGAAACTGCTCCGAACTCTCAACGCAGCACAACTGAGGAACGTGAAAGAGAGTTTAGGTATTTCTTGATATAAAAGTAATAATCATAATAGAAACAATCGTTGTAACAGAAAATGAAACAAATAATCCAGCTAAAAACGAAACAACTCCACCTTTAAACCGAAGATCTCAACAGTTACAGCGAGGTAAAATGGCATGGCCATTATGAGCCACTTGAGCTATTAAACCGCCTCAGAGGTATCTTCATTTGTACGTAATGACAAAATATGATTTTTTTGCGAGACTGCTTTGGCAGTGGTGCATAATTACAAATAACACTGCACTGAAATGGGATTTAAAACTATAAATCATAATATATATTTATACTGGAAGGATTCCTATGAGCTATAAAGTTATTTTCCACGGATGTCCAGTAGGGGCGGGTAAGAACGTTACAACAACAAACAGCACAACAACATGATAGCATTGCAAAGTACAAAAAACGTAAACAAACCAACATACACATACAAATAAAACGAAACCATCCCCATTCTACCAGGCAAAGCCCACTGAGGTATTAACTTATTTTTCAGAAGCGACCTGGCGACAAATGATAGCTCAACAAAGTGGCACCATGATTTGGACATTGAGAGCTCCAAAATAATCTCATTAATCTCAATGCAGTTTTCTAAATGTGGAGGGAAAAACCGGAGGACCCTGATAAAGAAAATCCACATGACCAAGGGGAGAACATGCAAACTCCAAACATGCATGCATGCATCAGGGTCGGGATCGGGATTGAAGCCTCGACCTCCTGCATGCCAGGCGGGGAAGATAACGTCTCACCACCCCTCCCTTTAATAAATACATAAAATATATCACGTTCAAATTGCATCACTAATTCCAAAGCTTCGGAGAGGCAGTAAAACGACAGAAAAAAACATTCCCAGACCACACCAAGACAACGCACAGTCCCTGGATAAAAACTGTGCATTAAAATGTAACTCTCAATACATTATATTCTTAGTTTTTTCGGTAAAGTCACGTTGAAGAGAAACAACAAAATAACAAAATATATATAAAAAAATAAAAAATTCTCACGACGTTTCGACCATAACTCAAACGGTCATCATCAGGTGTGTATAAATATAAATATATACCAACACACCTGATGATGACCGTTTGAGTTATGGTCGAAACGTCGTGAGAATTTTGTATTTTTTTAATATATATTTTGTTATTTTGTTGTTTCTCTTCAACGTGACTTTACCGAAAAAACTAAGAATATGAATTACTGCAGTCACGAAAGCTTTAAATCAAAATCTCAATACATTGTTCAGGATTATATTTACAAATCACATTGGCAAATGTGGCTGTATTCAGCACTAATCTTCTGCTTCAAAATATGTTTGAAGGAAGATGTACGATGTTAAGGGAGGAAACAGGGTTGTTCCAAAATGTTAGTGCTGCAATGGCAAAGGCTTTGTTACCTATTCCAATTATTGTTTCTGGGATAGAGAAAAGGCACTTAGATGGACGTCTTAGGTTTCTTGGATTTGACAATGGGGTTAATGAATTAGCTCAGTATAGCGGAGATTTGCCAAAAAGGATTTTATGGATGAAGAGAGCCCGATGTAGATTTCTTCTTGCACCACGTGATGAGAGCTTGGATTTTAAGTAGAGGTCACAATGGTGGGACGTGTATGGTGCATCCGGTGCAAATCGAAGAGCAGAATGATAAAGTGGGTTTAGTTTCATATTCTTGGTTCTTTCGGTAAAGTCACGTAGAAGGGAAACGTCGTGATAATTTCATTGTATTATATTTTTATTATTTTATTGTTTCCCTTCTACGTTTCGACTTTACCGAAAGAACCAAGAATATGAATCCCTGCACTCACGAAAGCTTTAAATCTAAATTTGGGTTTAGTTTGTTTAGTCATTAATTTGGAGCTCATCTGTAAGCAGCATCACCATAGTCAAACAGTGGTAGAATGAATGATAGCTTCAACAATTTGCAGGCGTAATTGAATGGGAAAACAATATTTTATTTTATATAAAAAATCCTATTTTCTTTGTCATTTTCCTCGAGATGTGATCAATATGGGGTTGGAATGTACATTTAGAATCAATTAGCAAACCCACGTGTGTGAAGCACTCCGTTTGTTCAATCATGTTGTTTTTGATATCAGTAATAGGTGAAAATAATGAAACTGAATTTTTGTTTGAGGAAAAGACCATGATCTCATTTATTTTAGGATTTAGGAGCAATTTTAGTCGTGACAATTGATGTTGCATTAAATCAAAATCGTGTTTGGCGATTCTGTTTACCTTCGTTGTGAGATATACCTGATACTAGCATGACAGTGCCACCAGAAAATGTATTTAATTCTGAATGATTTAAGTTTAGTCCAAGATTGTTTAAATAAAGATGTGATCAGAATTGGACCCAGCATGGAACCTTGTGGAACACCCTGTTATTTTAATATTTATGGACGAGATGTTATCACTATATACCATTTCAGAACGGTCTGAGAGGTGGCTCTTAAACCATTTTATTGTACCGTATGTAGTTTTGTGAGTAGAACATCATGGTCAACAGTATCAAAGGCTTTTGACAAGTCGAGGAATAGTAGTGCAGAGCAGCAGTTGCCGTTATTCGGGTTACTGAAGAGAAATATGTAATACATCCACCGTTGCTGTGAAACATTATGCATCTCTTTGCTACAAAAAAAGAAAGTCCATTGTCTGAAACATCACTCGTTGTATTTTTATACTGTATACGCATTTAGTTATTTCTTTATTGTTGGCCCATTATTGATGGACGTGTTGATAAAAATAAACAGAACACTACGAGGATGTCAAAGAATGAACCAGATTGCGTGGCAGGTGGCCTCGCAATTGCTTGACATTTCTGTCACTGAAAATCTATTCCAGACCTCCATGGATGGACAAAGAGAAGAGAAGCTGCTTCTAATAACATGTTTCCGTGAAAAAAATTAGTTGAGTAAAGAGTGTACTGGTTTTAAAATTAATTTTCACCTGACAAAATATAAAGAAGAAAAAAAACATGTTATTGCTTGGCTTATATTATTAAGTTTTGCTAGAGATATATATTTTTTTTATTCATGTGCATTTGCAAGCCAATGTGGGGGGAAATTTCACGGTACTAAGCCAACATTTCTGAGAACCCGAGTTCTAATCCAGGTGTCAGCCACCTACGGTCCAGTCACCAATGACTCATCCCATTACATTCAGTGTGTCAGTTAAATAACCACATTTCAGCTCTGAGGACGAATCGTTTTTGGTTTGTCATGAAGGAACAGGTTTGGCAGGGCATATGAAAGTGGGTGCTGCATGGCGTCAATAAGAAGTCTATTTACTTCACAAGTAGTTCTGTGATGTCGTGTTTCAAAGAGAGGAGCAATGCTCACTGTGAGACTTAGACATGGATACTTCATGGCATGGTGCTACGCTCATACACCAGTGGGAATTTAATTCATATAATAGAATAACATCTGAGATGGTTAATATGTCCGTTCATTTTGTGTCTACTGATTCCGTTACACGTGCATCTGCACGATCTTTTTGCTTCAAATATGCACGTATTAAAGTGGTTATTTTTACATTTTGTAAATGTATTTTTAATTAATTTAATAAAACTACGTAAGTAAACGTCAATGTCGTGTTGGTTCATATTATGATATCTTATTACATTAAAAATATATATTCATATCATAAAAGCGGATGATCATCCAAATGATATGCACCCTCTTCTTCTTTGGTTCTTTCGGTAAAGTCACGTAGAATGAGAATAAAATAATAAATTGATAAAATAAAATAACACAATAATATTCTCACGACGTTTCGGCCACAACACAAGCGGCCTTCATCAGCGCTGGAGTGCTGTCCTACCAGAGAGTCTCGTCCCTTCACCCGATGAAGGCCGCTTGTGTTGTGGCCGAAACGTCGTGAGAATATTATTGTGTTATTTTATTTTATCAATTTATTATTTTATTCTCATTCTACGTGACTTTACCGAAAGAACCAAAGAAGATGAATCATTGCAGTCACGAAAGATTTAAATCGAGATATGCACCCTGCAGCATACAGCTCTAACATTGGCCACACGCGTGCTATCAATCAGATTCTGGTGAAGATTGATGAATATAAAATGCCATTATGCCTAGCCTTTGTAGACTTATCAAAAGGCATTTGACTCAGCGAAAATTGATGCGATCATCCAAGCTTTTGCAACCCATGGCCGAAATAATATATATGTATTTTAGATGTAATGTGAAAAAATATGAAATGGCTACATTGAGATTGCATGAATAAAGTAACACGAGGCATATTTTAGGGGTGCCACGGTGGAGATATGATATCTATCTCACCGGGTATACAGAAGGTCATGGGTTCGATCCCAATCCCGATGCCTGCTGTATATTTGTAGTTTGCATGTTCTCCCTGTGGTTGCTGGTAATTTCTCTGGGTCCTCTGGGGTTCCCCTCCATATTTCGAAACATGCATTTATAGCATTTGGCTGCGAGAAATATCCACATGATAAACCACTTCGTTGAGCTATCATTTGTGGCCAGGTCACTTCTAAAAAAAACTATATAGCTCAATGGGCCTTACCTGGTCAAATCTAAAGTTGAGTTTATACTATCGGCGATCAACCAATCCAGCGAGATGCCCTGTCCATTCCCACGTATATTACGCTTCTTAACAGTTAACATCATAGTATTTAACTTGTGTACATGCTCTGGTCATGGCCTTCCTCTTTGTTTTTCGATGTGCCTCTTGATGCTTTAATAGCCCGTGGTTAAGACTTATAACCGAGTGGCAGCTAAAGGATGGAACACGTCGGAGATGATTTAGATCGTTAAGATGGAGCAAATATTATCAGTTGGTGCACTGCAGGAGCTAAAATGTAAAATTGCAAAGAGAAATATATCCAGCAGTAAATAAATCATGGCTGATGTTCATGAAATTGTTATTTATTTAAGTGTAAGTATGTGGGGAGTAATAATGACACAGTGGTTCACTCAATGCACTATGATCTCATAAACTTCAGGTGGCAACGTGGCCATGCACATCATTCGCAAGTTATATACAGTATTAATTTGTCCTGGATGTCTCGTAAATTGACTTGGACTACAATAAGTACCTTCATAATTAATTTGTGTTGGGTTAGATCGCATTATTTATAGTGTGAATCCACAACATTTAATTTTTTTGTAAATGTTGTGGATTCACTCTTCTACATTTTTTGTAAATGTTGTGGATTCACTCCTCAACACACCGGTGGGCTAAAGTAGTGAACTATTTGTCTTTTGTCAACGTGACACATTTTTTACTGATTGGCCGTGTCGGGTGGTGGAGGGTTGCGACACATTTATAAATAACGCCATCTAACCCAAAAACCTTTATTATGAATAATATTGGTCGCGAAAGCCTACGCGTTTAATAAGTACCCTGTTAGGTGCGGGCCACACCACCCACTCTTTTGCCATGCTGGCCTTAATACACGCTAGCCACACTTGTCTCCATAGGCAACAAGACTAAACGGGAGAATTGTATAGTTTTGTAATTGTGGCTTTCTAGGAGCAGTAGCACCTGACTCAAACTACAGTGGAGGAATACACATCCCCATTGAGACCTGAGCCAGTAATTGAGATGGCACAGTTCTACAGCAGGGGCAAGGACCTCCATCGGATAATCACTATTGACATCCCACAGAGTAGTATTCATGTTAACAACTCTGGAGGGATAGTGGGCTGAGTTGATTATCAATGGCAGTTGAGCGCACTAACTGCAACACCACCTGGCCATACATGTGTAGTGACGTAAATGGAGTCACTATGGCGTTTAGCGCCAGCTACTGTCACAAGAGTGGAACTGTGTGTCTTGAGCCTCTCTCTGGCACCAGAGTAGGTATGGCATGGAAGCGGGCCCTAGGGGGCATGGTTCTGGTAACAGTCAGAGAGAGGGCAAGTAAGGACGTGACAGTCTGGGTGAACCCCAGAGGGCACATGACTGGGACAGTGTAGCGAGGGGCCCAAAGTGTGGCTTGAGGGACACGTGATGCTCGGTCGAGAACCTTCTGGTGAAATCCAGAAGGGGGCGTCGCCGAAGGCGAAGCGAGGCCACGCTCGGGAGAATAAAAGGGAGGTCCCGAGAGCAATCGTGGCTGTCTGTTGGAATGGAACCCTCGGTGCTACGTCTCTTCAGTCTTCGGTCTTTGGTCGTTACACTCGGCATCGTGGATCAGGCAGTGTGTTACTGACCTGACCCGTTTATATAGTTACCCTGTTGGGTTGTTACCCTGTTGGGTAACTGTGTACGTTTATGTAGAAACCCTGTTGGGGTGTTATAATAAACGTGTTGCCTCCAAGTCAAGTGTGTGCCTCCGTAGAACCCACTACATATGTAATTATTGTCAGTTCCCTCTTGCAGCTATTGCTTTCAGCAGTGTATGTGTTAGAAAAAAATATATTCACGTGTTATGAGGCTACTAATGGAATCCATGGCCTCAGTTATGTTAATGCAGTTTAATAGAAACCAATTAGGTAACAAATAGATGCATATTGCACTTCCATTATGTAGCTAAATTATAGAAATGTGCATGCCATATATACTATGTCATGGTATGTTTTTGTAAACCGGTCCAAATAATGCACACGAGGCTGAGAATAATTAATTGGAGTAATGAGTTAATTTTGATGTACAGTATGGTGTGCATATGCGTACCACCTAAAGCAAATAATTGCCTATTGTTAAACTACTGCAGGATGAAAGACTCTCACGCTGTGTCAGCCACGGGGGCTGTGTGACTAAACTCTGCCACACTGGGCAGAGTGGGTTGGCAAAATGGTGGTACCATGTTGTGTGTCTTTTAATATATATGTTATATATATATAACTCGCCATTGATGTCTGTCATGGGTTTGTAGACAACTTACATTTGGTCATCATGGTAAAAGGGGCGGAACCATTTTTCTTCTCTCCGTTTTGGACAGCGCTGGCGGAGCTCTGGCATGGGTTGCAGTAAGCTGTGTTTTGTGGTTGTTCTCGTTTTCGTTATCATGAAAGAGTTTTATTGTTATTCTTGGTTCTTTCGGTAAAGTCACGTAGAAGGGAAACAATAAAATAATAAGCATTAAGAAAAAGATAATAATAATAAAAAGAAGATGGATTCTGGCTTAGCAATCATTGGAAGGATTTGATAAACCATTTCGGGTCTGAATTGATTGTTCACGCTTAAGGTGGCTTTCAGACCGCATCCATTATTTTTCGTCTCCCCTCCTCCTCTTTTCCAAACATAGATGTACTCGTCCATCTGAATAACTGCCAAATCGCTCTCCGTGGTGCTAACGTTAAAAAAACCCGCCACTTTTTTCAAATTTTCTTGCTGTGGTTTTCACACCTGATGATGATTGCTTGTGTTGCCGTCGAAACGTCGTGAGAATTTTATTGTTTTATATTTTTATTATTTTATTGTTTCCCTTCTACGTGACTTTACCGAAAGAACCAAGAATATGAATCCCTGCAGTCACGAAAGCTTTAAATCAAAAGTTGTATTGTTACCAGACCATCCTGAGCGCGATCATCTTTGACTACACACGTTAGTAAGGTTCCAAATAATGAAATAAACTATAGACTGGAGTCAAATTCCGAGCCCAGGTTCATGAAGAAGCACGCTTCGCAACCATGCTACCACTCATTGTGGTTCATTTATGCCATTCTACATTTGGTTGGGTGGTGCTATGGCTAGAGTGGTCACCTCCCAACGAGAAAAACGTGAGTTCATATCCTGGTTCAAAGGCAACCTCATCTTTGTGGAGTCAATAATATAAGTGCCACTTTATTGGAAGCTAACAGTCATGGGCCAATGCCTGCCATAGGTATGTGTAATTTCCATTACTGCCTAAAGGCTGCGAATGAAGATGACCACCACCCATTGTTTAAGCATGGAGATGTTTTACTTTTTTTATTACATCAATACCTCTATAATAATAAAGGAATCAATGTCACCTCAGCTTTTGTCTGTCTGGATATTTTATAATATGGATATATAAAGTAAATAACACTTCATCAACTCGTATCAAGAGTGCAGTGGCACCTGTGAAAAGCACACGGCTGATCATTCCTGGTAAGATGAGGAGGAAGAGAGGCAGGATCTTGCAGTAGGCCGCCAGCACCGACCCGCCTTTAGCATGCGTGAGGTTCTTGGCTGAAATTGACCTCTGCACCAGAACCTGGAGACCCACAATACAAACAGGGTTCAGAGCTTTACATTGGCTGACTGCAGCCAAACCACATACGAAACCAGAGAAGATAACCAATCTGGAGACGGAGAGATTAGACCCGTTCGTGTGCAGTAGTAAGATGAATGTGGAATCGGATAACCATGAGGGATGGCAATTACATTCAGATGCCTTCATCCAGCAGTGGATAGAGCATAGTTGTTGATGATGAACTGGTCGATGCACTTTATCTGGTACACAAGGAGGTCCAGTTAAGCATTCGAGGAATTTATAATGTGGGTCTGTTTCATAATAGCGTCCTTCCACAGCCCCATTACATTCCCGCCAGAGATCACATGGCTTCTGAAAGCAGACCTAGACATTTTCAACCGGTGTGTCTCTCAGTTGCGTCATCGCATTTGCGTTCACGTTCTCAATGACTAAAAAAAAAACTTACTCCTTACAAAGTGAACTTTAGCTTATTTCAAAGTGATGTTACGCACTGCATTTTCCGTGCAAGGCACATTGTAACGTGGACTCTGTGGAATATTCGAGAGCAACTTTCCCTTGTACCACGTCGTCTGATGTCACAGTCGTTGCTCTTTCTCCACAACAAATCACAAGGTGACAAACTCTTAACGGCAGCCCTTGCTTGCGCAATTGCTGTGCTGAATCACTGTGTGTATGCCAAAAATGTGGAGAGCTTAATCATAATCTCATGTAATTTTCTGTACAAAGCACGCTTTATATCCTCCCTGCAATTTGTATGAACACAATGTATATTCCAATACAATTTTGATGTATATAACATCTATTTGAAAAAAAAGTATATCTTAAGGCAATGCACAAAATAGTGATACGTTCATCATCGGGGGAAAAGGAGGTTCTTATTTACTGTTTAACGGTGGAGACAGTCATGATCATGAATTTGGACTTGGAAGAGGGACAAGGAATGGACAGCTTGGATGTCCCTTGGCAGGGAGTGCCAGACAACGTGGGCATCTAAGGAGAAGAAGCAACGCAACCTCCTACCAAAGTGAAGATCCTCCGACAGAACACCTCTGTTGCTGGAGTGGTGAGCACGTCAAGTGGAGTGGGGTGAGATGAGAGGGAAAAGAAAGGGCAGGGGCATGTCCAGGATGATCTTGAAGGCAATGAGGGTGAAAGAGCCAGTGGAGGGCTCTGAAGATCGGAGTGCTTATGTAAAGTTTGCCGGTGTGGGTAAGACATCTTGCATTGGCATTTTGACGTGTTCAACAGAATCTCGCACTCAGCACCTGGTCAGTGCAGAAGTACCAGGCAGAGAGGATAGGGATGCCCAACACTACACCAGGCCAGGGATAGTCTCCGTGGGTGGCGTCGCGGAAGATGTGGAAGGCGTCGGACCGCGGGGTTCCACAGGTCGTGTTCCCTGCGAGCGTGACGTTTGGCATGGCCCTAGAGTAGCGGAGCTGCAGCTCCTCAAAGCCGCCCACCTTCATGAAACCTGTGGCAGCGCAGCAGGGTTATGGGGTGGGTTGTCGTGGTATAGTTAATGAGCTGCATCGAGATGCATGGGATGGAGGGCCCCAAATGCTGAGCTACACAGGTGGTTGGGGGAAGTGGGGGGGAGTAATGGGATAGGAGGCCCTATTGCCTTCCTCGCCCCAGGGTCCGTGCCAACTATGGGTATGCCACTGGCTAAATGGGTTAGGGTTGGATTCTTATGGACAAATAGATTCATTATTGTGAATATCAGAATTGATTGAATTTGCTAAATAAATGGATCCTTAATATGCCGATAGGTTATAAATAATTCAATACATATTTTGATTCGAAAGTACCAAGCGTGAGACACATTGCGGATTTTTTTAGAAAATTCAGACAAAATGTCTGCATGAAGTCTGTGGTTTAGAGGGCAGCTTACTGAGGATCATGAGGACAAAGCTGCCCACGAGCATGATGACCAGCTGGAAGGTGTCTGTGTAGATCACAGCCTTCAGTCCCCCTGGAAAAATACACACTTTTATTACTCTTAATCATAATGAATAGGTGTGGGTCACACATCTGTTATCCAGCACTTTGGAGGTGAGATTGGTTGAGATCATTGTGTGAATGCAATTCCCAGACTTGCTGGGCTGCAAGGGTGGCCAGTACGTGGCAGTACAGAAAGCAGGATGCCAAACTGCCTGGATATTTTATTGTTATCCCTTTGTATGCGTGGCTTTTCACTGGCAACCAAATGCAAACACCCTACATTCAAAACAAAATTAATTAACAAACTGACCAAATATTCCATGGCAGAGCCATTCTTCAAGAGTCTTCACAATCAGTGATGATATCTTGTATAAATTACGATAATTATTATTGTTATAAATGGCGATGGCACATTACCCTATCATAAAAGTAATGAACAACAGAAAAAAACCCACTTTAAACTTGACAAATGAAAACCTGGCTTTTGCAACAGAAAGCCAACACTGGCATAGGTAGTGGTCGCGTCAACTCCACACTTTGTATTAATACCTTGAAAACGTTTGAGTGGATTGTGACCAGATTTCAGCATACAGCCCGCAGGACACATCTAGCCATACGGCGCACTGCCGCATGAGGTCTATCACTTAGTAACAGTCCACAAACAATATGTATTCATCACTCAAGATTGAGATGTCATAATGGCCAATGTTGTGAATGTCACCACACCTCGCCAATGCTTTTTATCTTCTGCTAGATCCCACAGTTGCTGCACAGCAGACATACGACCTCCAAGATCCGTCACTGCCAAAATTTTAACCCCACTAATCGGGTACTAGAGGGGGAATATTTTCAACCTGGCAACATTGTGCTGATAATTACAGCATGCTAACTCACTTTTGTAATTACACGTGACTGAGGTGTGTGTTCATGTGTGTCCCTCCAAAAGTATTTGAACGTTATTTTTAGACCTCAATAAGAATATGGTTCAGATTCACACGTGCGAAAATGGGTTGCTTGGTCTGATTTTTGGCACAGAACAAACTTGCCAGTGTCTCCACTGTTTCGTTGTCAATCTGACCCATACGCATTGTTAACACGAAGAATTAGATACATTCACTCTCTGAATGAGTATTTCGACCTGAACTGCTTTAAATGTTTTGCGATTGAGCATTTGCTGTCTCAAAACCATGATATGATATACCAATGTCAATTCAAGGGGCCATGATGGGTCATTTAAACCAACTTGAAATCATGATTAAATATTTTTTGTGTTATTTCAGTAAGGTGAAGCTATTGATATAGAGTGGGGTTTTTCAGCAGGTTGTATCTATTTATTGTAACCAACACCATTTACTTATTGATTTCAGGTGGCATGCCCATCTGAGTAACACCGGACGCACCTGGATTGCATCCATATTCCTGCAACAGTGACTCCAGGAGTGAATTTGATAAAAAACAGTCATGACAGATTTAGCAATCGCTTTTGTCCACAAACAACCCAGCATGCTTAAAGTGTTGAGTATTTGGTTCTGTTCTTCATTGGTATGTTTGTGATTGAAACTGAAAGTGAAGAAGTCAAACTTTCTCATCCGTATTGGGACTGTAGCTGCAATAGCTTACGCAGACATGTGCCTGACCGAAGCACCTGTGCGATTTGTCAAATGGAACATGACTCGAGACTAGCTAAATATAGATGGGACTGATCGCGAATCGTGCACAATGGGTCCCACCTGTGATTGTGTAGATAGCGGTGACACCCAGCAGCAAAATAATAGATGTGTAGAGGTCCCAGCCCAGTGTAAGTTGAATGAAAATAGCCCCTGCATACATATCAGACTAGGGTATTGGAATGAATATGCAGACACACATATAAATTACAAACACCCCCTCATATAGCCTACATAGATTGGGTGGTGACATGGGCTAGCGGTAGCATGTTCACCGCTTGTTGCACGATTTGAATCCAGAGGCCGTCCTGATGATTAATGTGGGTGTAATAACGGTAAGGATAATGAACAGGCGGTCTGCTTTACTCGTAGTGGACGTTAAATATCCCACTGACCTCATTATCAAGAGGAGGCAATTGTGTGCTATCTTCAGGGTCCAAATGTGGGATCATACATAGTCATCACCACCTCATACTGGCAGACGAATGCCCCAGATCATTATTGCAAATGAGGCTATCCTGAGATATTGAGTTATCGTGTGGTTAAACAAAATAAACTTGAACTTTACTGTTGGGGCAAAAATCTCTAAGCAGCACCTATTAAAGCCAGTGTGTTACAAAGAGAGTTGGTGCGGTCAACACCACACCTGGCCATCTTTGTCTCCACAGTGCTGATGTTCACATGAAGTAAAAAGGTACCTATTTAAGGATGAGTTAACCCAGGTCAGGTCCAGGACCTGTTCAGATATCACTGGTGACTGATGTTAGCCATGGCCAGGAGTCTAACTCAAATTTCTATGTGCAGAGAGATAATGACTGCATCAGTTTCCCCACACGCTCAAACACATGTGAAATCATCGTTATAATATCTTTAGTTTTACAGCATTGCTGATGTTACTACCATTTCATAACGACCACATGAGGAAACACCGTGCCATAAAACCCACAATGTGGATAGTGTACACGTTTGCCATCACATTGCACTGAATGGTTGGATGTGTAAATTGATGAACACGTGGGTACTGTCACTCCTTTAATGCAGCCAATATCCAGAAAAAGCCTTAGCTTTTTCAGCTGCACAGCAAGACCATATGATAACAGAACCTCAGCACGATACACACAAAAACAGAACGCATATCTATTCAGAAGTATAATAAATATTATCCATTTATAATATCCCCACAGATGGAGGTGAAAATTAATAGATGAAACAATATTTGTGTAGTGACATCAGGGATGTTACTGTATGGTGCCGGCCCAGAAGGGCCGTGCCATTCGATGTTCCTACATCGTCGACAGCACCGTGTGGGTGGCTGAGTGAAATACCAGCCCTAGCGGGGCTTGGCGAGCACTGGGATAGTGCGGGCACCACACACAGAGAGGGGGAGTGGGTGAGCGTCAGCCCAGGGGCAGGGTTGCCCCGGGGCCATGGCACTCTGGTTGACCCCGTAGACACGTGATCCGGAGTGTCCACACTGTGGGCCCCAGGTGGGGGGGGGGGCTAGTGGGTGATCACGTGTCCGGGGAGAGCTCTCGAGAAGGATCGAGAGGGAACGAGAATGCTCGAGAAGGCGGGCGGGGCCGAGGGCGGAGCGGCCCCGACTGTAGGGGGATATACAGTAAGGCGGGTTCCTGAGAGGGACCGGGGTCGCTGCATTATACAAGGTGGAAGCTCAACACCTACAAGCGGGAAGCTTTACGTCTCAAGCTGGAAGCTCTTCGTCTTACGAGGCAACCACGTGGTCGGAGACCCGAGTGAGGGTCCGACCCTTCGTAGCAGTAACCCCTCTGCATAGCGTAGTTAGCTGGGTGGTCACCACCCTAGGCTGTATCGGGTAAAGGGGCCGTTACCCATTTGTGTTACAATAAGTGTGCCTCTAAAAGGAACAACTTCTGCGACTCAGTTGGACTCACTACATTTGTATTCAAAACCTTTACGTGTCTATGACCAATCTCAATATACTTATTAGGCATGGTGGTTTCCCATCCAATCACTGTGCAGGTTCGACCTCACTTAGCTTTTGAGATCTGACGAGATCAGGTGCATTCTGGGTGATATGATCATACAGGCTGTGTTTCTATGCGCAGAGCAGATAATCTCACTCCAAAAGCAAACAAAACTGTATTTTCCCTAATATTGAATAAACAAAGTGAAACATTTCAGAACTGGATACTTTCCCTACGAGTTTCATGAGATGCTGTGAAAAGTATATAGGTTAAGTCAGGGCCTAAGGTGGGAGGTGCAATGAGGGCTGCAAAGACATTGAAGGATGATTTTTAAAATTGCAAAGGGCTTTGGAGCATAATGCCAAATTACGAGCATAAATCAGGGATTTACATCGTGTCATAGAACATTTATCTCGAGCGAGAAAAAATGCAATAAAATAATGTTAATTCATTAGGGCAGGCATAATTCTCCACTTTAATGTCATGTTATTAAACCCCATAACCAAGCGTTGTTTATAAATTAATTTTGCACATCGCAAAGTAGTTTAATTAATTCTCACTGCAACTTTGACACATCTGTTATGTTGTGGTCAAGTATTTATGAAATTATATCCTTAGTCACTCAGGAATATGTCAACTGAGGCTCTAACCACTAATTCAGGTAAAGACTTGCTTGGAATGTTTGGCCAATCCTTGATAACAAAATTTTTAATATGAGCAGAAGCATCAGTACTAAGTGACAACTGATGCATTAGAGGAGGTAACACAGCACTGAAGAAGATGCACACCAATTAATTCCACCTGTTGTAACACAGCTTAACTGTCCTTTGCATGTGGGAGTCTATGGTTGCCACCTCTGAATACATGAATATAGGAAGACGGTAGAAATGCGTGTCAATGCATTATACTCAGTGGTGTATTGTTACTTAACTGACAAAAAGGACTGGTGTCAAGCGTATGGGAATGGGATGATATTTGACAATACGCAAACCCTGAGTTTAAGATTGATCTACTTGTGTCCAAGGCTTAAATGGACTTGCTTCACCATACATCCAGGAGTTGATTCGGCCACACACTCCACTGCCGATCGTGCCCTACTCAGCTCTAACCAAAGATTACGAAGACTGGGATAATTTCGGTAATGTTAACGATGGTGATGGCAACGATGACGGGGACAAAACAGACAAAGACTAAGTTCAATTTTATTTTGTTCAACCAGACGAGACCTCACGAGACTAGGATCGCCCCATTTGCAAGAGTGAACTGAGTCACCAGAATGACAATAATATATAATATGATATATTTAATGATTATTATTGTGATGATGACTGGGATCATGATGATGTCGATAACAATTAGGTTAATGTTGATTTTGACTAAATCGTTGAAGAGGCTGATCATGATGATTGCGATGTTGCTGCAGTTGCTGCTGGTATTGTTTCTGTGACTGCTGATGATGACGATAGCAAAGATGAAGATCGCAAGAAGAGACAGAGTATTCCTTGCACATGGAAGGAAATCGAAGCATCCAGAGAAAATACACACACACATATACGGGAATAACACGGAAATGTCCACAGAGGTAGAAACAAGAATCCACTTCCTGTAACTGCTTGCTATGTCATGGCCCAGCGGTGTTTGGGAATTTCATATATGATCCACATAGTATCACCTGCAAAGTTATGGATTGCAAGCGCCAGCCTCACACTGAACCCAATTGAGGCTGAGAAGCTGTGGCTGGGCATGTTTACAAATCACCAGCCAATTGGGGATAGCCATGGCCAGAAATCAAACTCAAGTAGCCAGGTTTGTAGCACAGTTCCCACGCACCACTGTGCTACCCACATCACACACAGCACGCACACGTAAAGTTCACATTTACATACAAGACAAAGATCCCCCGTATAGCCTGAACAGAATGTTGGGGCAAGTGCTGTTAGCGAGTACCTATGAATGCCGGCAATGCACACAAGGGGGTGGGTGCCCAGCACCATGCCCGACCGCCTTTGTCTCACCAAATACGTATTTGAGGCTGACTCGACCTATGGGAGGCCCGGGACCGGTTCAGATAATCGTCGCTGACTTTGGACATGATTGGGAATTTAACCCAGCTTGCAGGGTTGGTAGCGCAGCATGCTAACAGCTACAATACCGCTCCCTATTTACATACAGACACACAGACACAAATTCGCACATACCCACACACATAGACAAAGACCACCCATGTAGACTTCGTAGACTGTTGGTGAGCACTGCGCCACAAAACCCGCCAGCTTGTTTGGGTTTGATTGCTGGCTACTGCTCACGCCATCAGCAATCAAGGCGATGAAGGTGGGCTGGCTTCGTCTTTTGATATTTGCCTTTGACATCGGTGCCTGTGTATATAGCTATGTGGAGCTATCACTTCTGGCCAGGTCAATTCCGAAAAATATGCGAATTGCTCAGTGGGCTTCATCTGGTAAAAGAACAAATTGTTCCTTTTTTTCGTTCTGACCCGCCGCTACTGGACATCTGTGAAAAAGAGGTTCATGGCTCATCAAATTTCTCCAGTACTGTGTATATATATTTAGAACTAATCTGATTCTGAGGTGTCTTTTTCCCCGGGGCACCACTGCTTTCGTGATTTGGGGTTGGTAGACCATCACCTGCAGCAGCGTCATCATCATTGTCATTAGCACCATGATCATCAGTATGAATATCGTCAAGAGATTCGCCATAAATATCATCATCTTGAACTTTATCATCATCAACATCATCAATGTCATAATCGCCATTCCTGTTGCCATCATTGTCGTGGTCATCATCTTTCTTATCACTACCAACATCGTCATCATCATCATCAGCCATAGTCATCATCTTTATCTGGTATCATCACCAACATCATTATAATTTCATTGCCATAATAGTCGTTTTACATGAACGCTAAGCTATCTGGATACTACAATTCTGCACCACAGTGGTCGGTAGAACGCACCCAGAGACATTAGCATATGCATGGATTCAAATGAAAGCACATTATTTGGTGATGCTGCGGTGTTAGCAGTGGTGCACAAATTGCAAATAACAAACGCACTCCACAAATTCGTGAATAACAATGTGGCCTTAAAAAGAAAGAGTACATACTCTATCCAATAGGTAACATTTCGGACAATTAATCTTCAAAGCACATAGAGAGGCCAGATAAGTAGATTGGATAAGAGAGTTGTCTCCAACTCAACGCGAA